TTATTTAACATTCGCATTCATTTAATTAATATTCACATTCATTTATGAATTTTAGTGTTATTAATTTTAATTATAAATCAATTAGAATTCCACTTTTAAAAATGCATTTTCATGTATACTAATTAGCATTAAGTTTTACGTAATTGAAAATTAAATAAATTATTTAATATTAATTGTCACGTATATATTCGCTTGTATTAATTATAGACTAATTAACATTCACGCATATTCAAATATTAATTTTACAACACTTATAAAGTATTTTATAATAACGTGCAACACATGTTCAACGTTGATTAGTCATGAAAACTAAGTTGTTACAAGGTTGAAAGGCAAGGAATCAACTATTAAAAAAAAATCCATTTTGTACATATTTAATAGTTTGAGGAATTCCATTGCAATTTTTCCTAAATCATTAACGCATGGAACAGGTGTAGTAGTAATTTTGTCTGAATACTTTTTTTTTCTCGATCAAGGTTCGAAGAATATTACACGCTTACAAGTTACAAGACAACTCGTAATTTTGTCTAAATACTTTTTTCTCGATCATATTTTATCTTATCATGTCGATTCATCGTTGATATTTTATAACATTAAGTTGTGATAAGTCGGTAATCGTTGAATTTCGTTATATCACAATAAAAGAAATTTATGAATACACAATTGAACAATTATGAAAGGTTGACTAAAGTCATCTGCAATTGTTATTGGCACGAAGAAACAAAAAAGAAGGCGCCACTCCTAAGCCCTAATTCAATGACCATAGTCCTTATAATAAACCTCAAAAAGAAAAAAATAATGGACATAAAGTCAGCAAAAAGTCCTAGTGGGTCCAGTACTGCCCCCGGTGTTAGACTGAGCTCCGCCTGTTGTCCAAAATATATTTTGAAATAATATTTTAATAAAGAATTTGTGATTAAAAAATAAAAAATTTTGAATTTACATATAGCATTATTTTATTGAAGAATGTGTAATTGAAAATAGGGAAAAATATATATTTTAAAAATAATGAGACCAAATAAGGGCTTAAAAATTCTAAGTCGTGTCAACGTGTGTATCATTTTTTTAATTTCGTAAAAATGAAAATCGAAAAAGTCGGAACAAACTTTAGAAGCTCGTAGTTCACGTAGATTTATATTTTTTTTTAATTCTAAAAATTATCAAAAATTAAAAACTAAAAATCAACAAATATGCAATAGAGTAAGGGCATAAATGTCATTTCACTCTTGTCCTTTTGATTGTGAGATCAATGATGCTACACGTGCATTGTATCCTTTACATCATACCACATGACAAAATATTATTGAACAGTTTAAAAACAAAAATAATTTTTTGTCCACAATTTTCAAAAAAAAAATAATAATAACGTAAAAATTAATGTCAACTAAAGAATGTACATTTAACGTTATTGCTATAAAATATGAAAAAGGCTATGTGTAATGTGAGGCCCACCTCATGTGAGTTGGCTGTGTAACTTCATGTGTACCAAGGCTGTACGCCAAGCCTTGTTCATAAAAGATTGTACTCAGAACCTTTTTCCTTGATAAGACTATCATACCAATTGACTACTAACAAAAATTTTCATGGCTAATGAATTTCGGCCATGTTTGGTGGAACTGGAGGGAAGTAGTGCATTCTTAGCCCCCCATTTGGCTTCCACTATATCAAATTATAATTTTTAAAATAGTATTTTTTTATTTTTTTGGGAAAGCGTGGTTGAAAAGGAAGATTTTTTATTTTATTTATATGTAATATTATTTTATAAAATATTATGTAGTTGAAAATAAGAGAGAGAGATAATTTTTTGAGATAATGGAAGCCAAATGGATAATCAAACAAATTTTTTCACTATGGTCAACTTGAACAATAATACAAAAACAATGTTTTTTTTCGTATGTTTGATTTTGAAAATTTTCAATTTTAGGGCGTGTTCGGTAGAGATTAAAATTGGATTAAATTAAAAAATTAGCCGTTATTGTTGACTTTTATTAGACGAGTGGGACCCAATAACTGTCATATTTTCAATTAAAATTGAATTTTAATCCTGGACAAACATGCCCTTAATCTTTACACAAAGGTGACATTTAATAATTTTATTTAAAATCTTAAAATAAAATGGGTAAAAGATATGAGTTGAAATTTGCTACTTGTACGTAATGTGTTGCCCATAACGGTGTCAACCCCTCACATGAAGGGAGACCCAATTTGAATATATTATATTTTATTCGAAATGAGTCCCCCTGATAAACACCGTTATAGACACCCTATTATGTACGTGAAATCTTATCATCTTATTTGTAAAAATTGTACAAGCTTTAATCCCATTAATAAGCGAATATTTTAGAACAAATAATTGATTTAAGGGAAATTTGTTTTCATTGCATTTGAGTTTGAGTGTAACTGCCTTATTTATAGATTTAAATCAAGATGGATAAAACAATGAAGTTTTATCGCCGTTGAACAAGCATCAATATTTGATAAGTGAATATATATATATATTTGTTTCTCGATAATACTTGAATTTGTACATGTATTTCAACGAATAATCTGCTCTATTTTCATTAATTTTTTGCTCCATTTGACTTTCACCCGCCATTAAAAATCATTTTGGATCTTAGATATATCTCTTTCTGTCCCTTTCTCCGCCTTGAATGTTCTTGATGACAGTGCAAAAAGTCCTAGTGGGTCCAGTATTGCCCCCGGTGTTAGACTGAGCTCCGCCTGTTGTTCAAAATATATTTTGAAATAGTATTTTAATGGAGAATTTATGATTAAAAAATAAGAAATTTTGAATTTACATATAATATTATTTTATTGAAGAATGTGTAATTGAAAATAAGGAAAAATATATATTTTAAAAATAATGAGACCAAATAAGGGCTTAAAAATTCTAAGTCGTGTCAACGTGTGTATCATTTTTTTAATTTCGTAAAAATGAAAATCGAAAAAGTCGGAACAAACTTTAAAAGCTCGTAGTTCACGTAGATTTTTTTTTTTTTTTAAATTCTAAAAATTATCAAAAATTAAAAACTAAAAATCAACAAATATGCAATAGAGTAAGGGCATAAATGTCATTTCACTCTTGTCCTTTTGATTGTGAGATCAATGATGCTACACGTGCATTGTATCCTTTACATCATACCACATGACAAAATATTATTGAACAGTTTAAAAACAAAAATAATTTTTTGTCCACAATTTTCAAAAAAAAAATAATAATAACGTAAAAATTAATGTCAACTAAAGAATGTACATTTAACGTTATTGCTATAAAATATGAAAAAGGCTATGTGTAATGTGAGGCCCACCTCATGTGAGTTGGCTGTGTAACTTCATGTGTACCAAGGCTGTACACCAAGCCTTGTTCATAAAAGATTGTACTCAGAACCTTTTTCCTTGATAAGACTATCATACCAACTGACGACTGACAGAAAATTGTGAGGCCCACCTCATGTGAGTGGGTTGTGTAACTTCATGTGTACCAAGGCTGTACGCCAAGCCTTGTTCATAAAAGATTGTACTCAGAACCTTTTTCCTTGATAAGACTATCATACCAATTGACTACTAACAAAAATTTTCATGGCTAATGAATTTCGGCCATGTTTGGTGGAACTGGAGGGAAGTAGTGCATTCTTAGCCCCCCATTTGGCTTCCACTATATCAAATTATAATTTTTAAAATAGTATTTTTTTATTTTTTTGGGAAAGCGTGGTTGAAAAGGAAGATTTTTTATTTTATTTATATGTAATATTATTTTATAAAATATTATGTAGTTGAAAATAAGAGAGAGAGATAATTTTTTGAGATAATGGAAGCCAAATGGATAATCAAACAAATTTTTTCACTATGGTCAACTTGAACAATAATACAAAAACAATGTTTTTTTTCGTATGTTTGATTTTGAAAATTTTCAATTTTAGGGCGTGTTCGGTAGAGATTAAAATTGGATTAAAATTAAAAAATTAGCCGTTATTGTTGACTTTTATTAGACGAGTGGGACCCAATAACTGTCATATTTTCAATTAAAATTGAATTTTAATCTTGGGCAAACATGCCCGACATTTAATAATTTTATTTAAAATCTTAAATTAAAATGGGTAAAAGATATGAGTTGAAATTTGCTACTTTTTGAGTCCCCCTCAATGTGTGAGGGAATGAACACCGTTATAGACACCCTATTATGTACGTGAAATCTTATCATCTTATTTGTAAAAATTGTACAAGCTTTAATCCCATTAATAAGTGAATATTTTAGAACAAATAATTGATTTAAGGGAAATTTGTTTTCATTGCATTTAAGCTTGAGTGTAACTGCCTTATTTATAGATTTAAATCAAAATGGATAAAACAATGAAGTTTTATCGCCGTTGAACAAGCATCAATATTTGATAAGTGAATATATATATATTTGTTTCTCGATAATACTTCAATTTGTACATGTATTTCAACGAATAATCTGCTCTATTTTCATTAATTTTTTGCTCCATTTGACTTTCACCCGCCATTAAAAATCATTTTGGATCTTAGATATATCTCTCTCTGTCCCTTTCCCCGCCTTGAATGTTCTTGATGACAGTATAATCTTTCCCTCTCTCTGTCGTCTGTGTTTTCTATAAATGAGGCTCCTCAGACGCTAGCTTCGAACAATTCCACCATGGTAGCCCTTTTCATGATCTTGGGTCTAGAAAATTTACACTTCTACTATTTCTGCTGAGACAGATACATGGAAACTAGATACAGAAATCAGAATCAATAAAGGGTTTTTCTTAGAGGGGAAGTACGAGATAGACTAGTAGTGATGATTAAACACAGTGTTTTAGGTTTTTTATGTTGATGAATTGATTTTGTGATGTGGGTTTTGTGTGAAATGGTTTAATTGTTATGAAGAGTGTAGGGTTCGAATTTTTCTGGGAATTTCTGTTGTGTGACACTGAAGAGTACAGAAAATTACTGACTTAGGCTTTTAATTATATATAGTGGTACCATCTAGAAAGGAAAGGATGATGTCTTCACAGATAAACCTGGTGATGACAGTGATTGGATTTGCAATGAGTACCCTGTTCATAGTGTTTGTATGTACTAGACTCATATGGGCTCGAATTCAGTTAAATGCTTCGAGGCGAGCTTTAGCCACGGGTTCTAGATCTGATCTTAGCATTGTAAGTTCTTGTTTCCACTATATGTTCATATTTCATTTCTGATTTAAAAGCATATTTTGTAGTTACATGGTTTCTGTGCAGTTTTACTTGTGCTGTAAAGGATTTATCATTATGTATGGTCAATTCCAAGTTCTGATTCGAAAAAGAACCTCGAAAGAGTTGAGAATTAGAATTCATTTGATGGGCCCAAATTATTTTGATTACCAAACTTCGAGTCGGTCTGTGATTTTTTCTTTATGTTTTCATTGTGTTTGCTTGATTGGAACTAGTTAACCATTTGTTTGTGGTCCGAATGGAAGTAATTGACAATTTTAAGCTGTTAAGATTTATGCATGTTTGATCATATTGCATCACTTTGGTCTTTTCTGTATTTATTCAATCGTGAGTTTCCAAAAATATTTCCATGTCTATATTTTTTATTGAATAATCAAGCTCTTCATCCTTGTGACAGCCTTGCAAAAATAACTTATGCTAGATGAGTATATGTGCCCCCAAATTTGTTTTTATCCATCTTTGTAAAAGGTTTGTTTTCACTCGTACAGGTCGCCAATTATAATGAGACTAACTTTAGAATCTACATTTCTAGGGAAATTTATCACTTTGGATCACTTATAACTATTTTGAACTGAAGGCACGTTTGATTTACTTTTTCAACAGTTGGAGCGGGGTCTGAATGGCCTTGAGCCTCTCGTGGTGGCCAATTTTCCCATTAAGAAGTATAAAGATTTGTGCTGGTCTTCAAAAGAAAATGCTCAGTAAGTTCTCTTGTTGATCCTTCCGCCGAGTGTGCTTTTTTTTTTTACTTTTATTTTAATTTAGGAGAATATTAATTTGATGATGACATTACTTACTACCCCTTTGAAACTCTTACTTTAGCCAGGATAGACACATGGTGATTCTTGCATGAGTGTTTTGACTATTTGCTCATCAGCTATTAGTTAGCAAGTGACGGAAAAAACTTGTATTTTAGTTTTATTATCTTGGTTGAAGGAAATACTGCTAGAAAGGTTGATCTATATGTAATTTTCTCTATACATTATATTTTAGTTTTAGAAAAGTGTATTGACTCTGATACATGTTTGAATTTTGACTACTCCTTTTTCTTCTTGATCATTGTCAAATGGGTGTCCGATATGTGCTTGAGATTGTTTGTGCTCCTTACCATATTGTAAAGCGTATATCCAGAATTGTCTTAATGTGAATATGATTTATTACTTAGACTAAGTGAAATTAACCAAAATTCGGCCTTTAAAGATGGGATAAGGATAGAGTCATGAAAGTTGGCTCCACGTAAAATGTCAGACAATACATGTGACATCAACCTCTAAGAAAAGCTCAAAAGAGTAGTGTAAAAGCTATGCATGGATAATTATGGTTATTTAAATATGCATGTTTTGAGGCCATTAAGTTTTTCTCATTCTGTTCGTAATAGTTGGAAAACTGAAGGCTAATGAGATATATTGATACTTGTAAAAGATGAGCTAAATCTTAAAATCAAGTAGAAGCTACATTATTTTTCCCACCATGGGAGGCTATGCGTGACTGAGGGAAATTGCAGCATTATCCTTTTCTTGGNCCCCCCCCCCCCCCCCACCACCACCACCCAAAAAAAATAAATAAATATCTCTCTCTTCCAAAATGGCAGACATAAAACGTGGTTGCTACCATGATTTACATCTCACCATGTCTTATTGCTCTTATCTCTGTACTTATCCCAATAGCAGAAAACTTTGTACGACACCTCAACTGAAAGAAACTCTTCATACAATCACAATAAAAGTACTACCATCACAGCACCGCAACTTCCTTTCCCCAGCTCTATTATTGCGTGAGTTTCAAAACTGCAAAATGTCAAGTAATCCCAGGAACTTATTCGGTCCACTTTGGTAATTTCTTGATTTGTTCAATATGAATTAAGAATTATATGCATACCTAACTAGAAACAAATCATTTCTTGTTTCTCTCTCACTCCATTGACTTGAAGAATGAGGAACTAATACACGATTTTGTAGGAGGGGCACTTTATTCATTTTGAGTTAAGTGGATAGTGGACCCCTTAGGATCTGGGGGGTGGATGTTTGATTTTATAACCTAGGGGTTGGCCCAAAGTGTGGAAAATAGGAAAAAGTGCATGAATCAAGTGCAAGAAAATTACAGCCCTGATATGAATAAGATTAAGTGAAAATTAGGCCAACTACCTCTCACAAATAACTAATTCGAATAATACCCTAGAAACTAATTAAATAACTTAATCATGTAATTAATACTCTCTAAACTATCAAAACCACAAAACCCAATTCAAATTCCAGATACCCAAAAATCTAGTAGCATCCATGACAGCTTTCTTCTTCTTGCCTATTGAGAAAATTAAACTCAATTCTTCGGTTCCAATTACCTTCCGAAACCCATTCCAAACAGGCCCTTGAGGGCCAACTCAAGAAAAAGATAATCTTATCCTTCCTGAAATGCCAAGTTCCCAAATTTTAGTCGTATTCGGGTAAATGGAAAATTGAGTTCGATGAGGAATGAAGAGGATGATTTTTTGGTAAGATTCAAGCTTGGTTTGACGAGAAGATAGGAAAATGAAATGCGTTCTGGGGAGGATAATGTTAGTAGTATTAGTGAGAAAGCTGAAAATGTTGAGCCAAATGCGATGGTGATGCTTGACGAAACCTGTAAACATAGGTTGGTGCAAGAGGCAATGAAACTTTTAGGTTAATGTGTGAGAAGTATACTATTCAGAAAGTGGTTGTATACACTGCTGTAGTGGAAGGCTTTTGCAAGGCACGGGAGTTTGAAGCTGTGATGAGAATTTTTAAGGGAAAAAAATGCAGAGTAATGGAGTCGTTTCAAATACATTTAGTTATTCCCAATGCATTCCAAATGTTTGTCACTTTTTTTAATAGTGTGTTAATTTTTTTAAAAAAAATTCTGTCACTTTTTTGAGTGACGGACATTATTTTTTTAATGTATCACTTTTGATGCTTAACTTTATACAATATTTTTTACTTCAAAAAAACTTTTTACATGATAAATGGATTGACTGACTTGATTGATGATGGTGGTGGTGAATTGACTCAAAGATACTTGACGTTTTGATTGGTGTTTTGTCTGTGAACTGACTTAAACTTATTTTAGCGTTTGTCACTTTTTTAGTATGTTACTTCTTTGAACTTCTATCACTTTTTTCTGTCATTTCCTTAAAATTTTATCACTTTTTTGAGTGATAAACATCACATTTTTACAAAAGTGACATTGTATATAATTTTTTAATAAAAGAGTGACACTAAACTTTAAAAAGTGACATTGTGTCACTTTTTATGCAAGAAGGCAACATTCAATTTTACATAGTATTTTTCAAAGAACTCCTAATTTTTGGTATATTTTTGTAAGTTGCCCTAAGATTAATACATTTAGTTCAAACTGGACTCAAACTTCAAGAATTCCTTATATGGGTCCAACTGGTTATGGAATTTTTGTGAATAACATTTTAAGAGTAGGTGGACAATTGGCTACACAAGCTAATAACCGCAACAAGCTTATCCTAAAAATGGTTTAGCTATATGGAATTTCAAGTTTTAAAGTTGAACCATAGTTCCACCTTAGGGACAAGGTGAATTTCGAGGCGGCGAGTAATGATAGATCTCCAATCAATTTGCAAAGATACAACCAATATGAAGGCCGTCAAGTCATCCAATATTCTATAATATTCCACTTAGTTAGCCGAGGGGCAAAAGGGTAATAGGAATATAATAATATGTCTATAAATGTGATAGGGAGATGGGGGGATGAGGTATTCAGAAAAGTAGAGTTGGGAGGAGAGCTTGGGAATTGTCTTTCATTTAGTTCAGTGTCAACAGTCCATTTACAGTGTGTTAAGCTTTCTGTCAAGCAACACAATTCATATTTCACTACATCTACAGGCTCCTATCACATGCTCGCATTTTTACTTGCCAATTGCCATTCTAACGTCAAAACATGTTCACAGGTGTACTGTGTGCCTTGCTGAATACAATGAGGAAGATAAACTACGTATCCTTCCTAATTGCGGACATTCTTTTCATGCATCGTGTATCGACATATGGTTGCACAAGCACTCAACATGTCCTGTATGTCGAATTTCACTCAACGAGCTTTCCGAGAGAAAGTGGTTCATGCAGCCGATGTTTAGTTCAGCCATCCGATCCCGATACAGCTTGCAATCTATCAACACGTGTTATTGTCAGTGCTTGTCAAATTGTCACCGGCATTCATCGAGATCCCTTGACAATCAGATGCTGGACCCCACCCAGGAACTTCAACGTCGGTCTGAGGATGCAACGGCTTGTTGATTGATGGTACTGAAAAACATTAAACAAGTAGAGTGCGCATGTTTGCTGCATAGTACTGAAGGGAATGCTATTAATGGATAAGTTCTTCAACCACAGTATTTATGTTGTTGCTTTCAAGGGCATGCCCAGAAGTTGATGGCACCATCATTGAGAATTTGAGATCAAGTCCTGGAAGCAGATTGTTGTGCTTGTAACTTTATGTACATATGACAATAGTGATTTGGATTCCACATTTTACTCCCTCCTTCCTTGTAGTCGATTTCTTGGTAGTTTATTTGGCTCTGTTTAGAAGATCTCTGTAACACCATCTGCGGATGCTGATCCCCCCTCCCCCCAACTCTCTCTCTTTCGTGTTAAAATCGGTGAACTTTATATCGTCACAATTGCGTCAATTTGTACTGTCGGTTTTATCTAGTTAATCCGTCCGAGTCTACTAGTTTGCCAAACATAATAATGACAAGAAATAGAAATAGAAATTGTTGTGTGAATGAACTCGAGCAGGTTGACATGATTGAAACAAAGTTATAAATTGAGTAACTCGATTGTTTGAACCTATAGTCTTAGTTATCCGCTTGGAATAGAGTACAAGTTTGATTATCTCCAAAAATATTTACACAAAAATCCTTCCATCCCTTCAAAGGCTTGCAAAGAGAAAATTTTCCCATTTTTCTTCCAGCCGGTGCAGGAGTCCCAGTTCACTTGAAATCAGGTAGTCATTAAAGAAAATATGTTGGATATTTGGTTTAAACAGATTATATTCTCCCTTGTGGCCGTATGGTAAGTACTTGTACCTTTACTCTCAAACAATACAAGAATGCCAATCCATCTATTGGTGTGTTGTTGATCTCAACCGACTCGATCGTCCCAATTCAAATGTCCAATCTCTTATCTAATCAAATATGAATTTGCTATATAATTTTCGATGGATTCTACGTCCAATATAAGAAACATCAAATAGAAATAAATGGCGCCTAATGATATCAAATAGACCGCATAGCGCAGTGGATTAGCGCGTTTGACTTCGGATCAAAAGGTCGTGGGTTCGACTCCCACTGTGGTCGCTTACTTTTATCATTTCTTGTTTTCTTTTTCCATTTTTGCATTTGTTTCCTTCCCACAATAAGCCCATTTGTAATAAGAGCAGGAACTGCATCTGATTCTAATGCCATTGACACAGATGTTAGGGTTCAAACCTTTCGTACCCTCACCCTTACCCCTCTCTCCCGTCCTTCCCTTTCACAACCTCAATTTCTGCCCCATAAAACCCAAAACCCCAAAACAATTCTCACTTCATTCACAAAACGACAACAGAGACAATAACTTGTCTAACTCAGAATACGACGCCAGCAGTAAAAATGGCGGAGGTGTTAATGGACGATCAAGATTGAATCTGAAGTGGACAGATCTAGTACTTGATCCGGATCCGAACAATATCGTGGCAGTTGGATTGATCGGCATACTCACACTGACTGTGGTGCAGGTTTTGTGGCAGCTGTTGGTGATTACATTTGCCATATTGATTACTGCTCTCAAGTATACTGCAGTTGCTGCTCTTCTTGTCTGTATTCTCATCACAATCCTTTGATTTTTAATAATTTCTTTTTTCTTCAATTTTTTGAATGTAGTTTTCATTTTGTGTAACGTGGATGGATATGATACTATAGGGTTTGATTTTTGGAATCAACCCACTTTTGATCGAGAAATTGACAATAACAAGTGACATGTTAATTGTGAATAATTTTTGTTTAAAATCAGTAATTTTTTGTTTGGTTAAATTTAAAATAAATTGATTATTCATTTTAGAATTAATATCTACATTCACTTATTAATAAATATTTTTTACTTATAAATAAATAAAAAATAATCTATCTAAATATATCTTTAAATACTTTTAAATTTAACCAAACAGTCCTCTAAAGTTCAAGTCCAATAGATTCCCATCTTTTCCCTTCTAATAAAGAAACGGAATAATGCTCCTTCGACGAATGGAGGGACATGGTGATGTGTCAGATAATAACTGGGTGTTGTGTTTTTATTTTTTTCAAATTGTTCAATTATGTGTCGGCATGTATTCTCTCTTTTTTTTTTTTTGAATATGTTTTTGAGCATGTTTGTGTAGCACAATTATAAAAAATTGATTATTGTATCTTGTCTATTAATTGTTGGTACACTAGTTTTTTAAAAATAAAGCTGCACGTACAGGTGCAGCTTTTATAGGGTCTTACAAGCCCCTCACTGTGTGGGCAAGCCCCACATGTATTTTAAAAAAAATAAAAAATTACATGCCCCACCTTTGTTTCTTACCTGATAGGAACTTGTGAAATAGGTCCCTGTACTTCTAGCATCTTTCTTTTTTGAATTTCGCCTCTAATGTCATAAAGGAGGATCAACATTATTCGCACGCTATCTAACACTATTTTTAGGATACTCACGTCCTTCTAAAATAAATTAACGAAGTATCACTTTCATCTTTCTAAAAATGAAATTAAGAATTTTATGAGGTTATTTAGCCCACTAAATTGAACGGGATTAAATCGTACCACGCAAGAAAGTAGAGGGTTGTAGTTTGTGAATTTTCTTTCTGTTATCTTACAAAATGATGTATCTTATAAAAAAATAACAAATGGTATTTTATAGAGAGAAAATGTAATGAAATGCCTTGATAATGCGATTAAATTTGATGAATAAGTATTTTATTCAATTGCATTTTTCTCAGTAAGTAAGTTTCGTCCGTTAATTATTCAACTCACGTAATTTGATGGGTGGCTATATTGACACCATAATTTATTTAAGTCAAAACACTTTTTAATTGCATTAAAATCTTCGATCTTTGCTTATTGTCCCACTTACAGTCACAATTTTTTTTTTGTTTAATTCATATTTTCGATCGCTTATTAACTAGTACATATGGTCTCTAATGATCGTTTTTGTCCAAATATTATGTTACCGTGCTTTACATTGAAGGGGACAATATTATATTGCAATTTTTGTGTATGTTAATTTTCGTCAATTTAAAAATGTGTGGAGCAAATAAGTCTTTTTAATCCCTAACTAGCGGACTTTTTGTACTACAAGTATTATTTAATGAAAATTTGAGGATAATAATATGATAAAAAAGTTGGGGACGTAAATGCAACAATGGCAAAGATTAAGTACTTCTAGTAGCAATGAAAAGAAATTGTGGTGATAATATAATTACCCTAATTTTATTGTATCCAAACGTATTCAATCGCATTACTTTATCTACAATATATTAAAATAATGATTGAATAGAAACTTTAGTTATATGTCCAATATATCCTCGTTTGTTTTACGAAAGGAATTTTTTTTTTTAAATGTTGAAAAACATATGTTGTTATTAACGGCATTAATTCAATTTATTTTACATAAAACGGATGTTATTTACGGAACTCGAATGATGGCCTTAAATTCTCTTTCTAAGATTAAAAAAAATTATATTTTAATTTGATTAATAACATTAATTCAAAAATAAAATTGAAAAAACGGATGTCGTTATTGATTCAATTTATTCAACATAAATTTTTTAAAAAATGGGTGTTGTTTAAGGAACTCAAATGACATGTTTTTGAAGAATATTATAATGTTCATTTGTCAATATCACATTTTGTTACATATATGAGTATTAAAATGCAGCAAAATTCATGTGACCATATTCAATTTTAACAAGAATTAATTCTGCAAAAAAAAAAAAAATGGTTTTTTTGAAATATGATGAAATTTTTTATTGTGTTAAAAATAATTTAGTTCTTTTTTATATCTATTTTTATTTATTAATTCTTTTAGTAATGTCTATCTAAATGATGAACATAAGTTACTTAGAAGTCGATGAGTGTTGTGAAGGTGTTCCGTTAGTGTTTTTCGTTTTTGCTGTGAAATTCTATTGACCTACACATTATGTGGAATTACTAACCGTTTAATATGAATTTATTTACGAGTGATTTCATCATATTTGATTGTTCACATATAGATGAGAATCTACATTTTTTTGCTATTATATTAATCTTTTAAGTAGAAATGATTTTTAATACAGAAATCAGAATGTTTGGAAGCACAACTTCTTGATAAGATCCACATCTGTATTATTATTGAGACTATGGAATTTAGTGTTTGATTTTAAGTACATTTAAGTAATGACAAAAACAAATAGGAATGAGTTACATTTATGAACATACCAATCACGTGCTGTCTTAAGATTTATATTCAACGAGGAGTTTGGATTTTTTATTTTTTTCCCAATTTATTCAACACTTTCACATTATATACATAATTTCATAAAAGCTTTTATTCCTATGTATTCTTTTTAACAATTTTAATTTTTTTAATAATATCAACTACCTCAACTCCTTAAAAAAAGTATTAATACTTCAAAAGCATTACGTGTATCATTCATCCGATATATACGACATGCAACGCACATGTTTACTATTAGTATAATAAAATGTAACAAAACCCTCATTTTTTTTCCCTTCAAAATTTTACAAATAACAAGTCATCTCCAGATATCTTTAGCACCATTAATGAGAATTTCTATCGTGATATTTTTACTCAGAGTCTCAGAGCATGTCTCGGAGAGCTTTTTTAATCTCGAAAATTGATTTTTTTACTGTTTTTTGGCAGCATATGAGGCCCATTATGAGATGAAAAGTTAAAGAAATCGGCTGGCTCCTCTTGCAACGGTCCAAAAAGCAATAAAAATTGGCTGATTAATTGGAAACAAACACAACCTCAATTATCTATCATGTATAGGCCTTGTTTGATTTCATTTTTTTTTTTCAAAATACATTTTTTCGCTCTTCTTTCAATAACACATTTTTCAATAAAAAAATATTATACACAAATCTAGAATTTTTCTTTATTTTTTAACCACACATTTTTCATCAATCTACTGTATCGAAATGCATTCTATACCAAAAAAATGGGGCTCAAACAGGTCCATAATATAGTATTTAGAATTTGTTTCAAGTTTAGCCTCTGTTTGGTGGAGATTAAAATCAGATTTTTTGTAAATTTTGATAAAAGTTGATGAAATGTGTAGTTGTGGATCCCATAAAATGTGTGATTAAAATTAATTGTTGACTTTGACTTAAAATTTTAATTGAATTTTAATTCAAACCAAACAAGTTCTTTAATATGATTCAATCTATCGTAGCAAAAATATTGGTAACATCTTGACAGAGGTATTTAGGGCACGTTCTTTCGTAATACTTGCATAAATCATAACAATTGTTTTGTTTTATAAAAAAAGTTAATTTCACAAACGGTCACTGAACTTACCTCAAAATTACAAAACGATCACTGAAGTTTAAAACTTGCAGAAACGGTCACTAAAGTTTCACTCGCTTTCGAAAACGGTCAATAAAGGACCGTTATGATTTTAATTCAAACTTAAAGGACCAAAACACGTGAGCATAGAACCTCGAGGACCTCAAGTGCAAAAAAACAACTAAAACCCTCCCCAAAACCCAAAAAAAACCGCCCCATTCCCTTATTCAATCAATCTCCTCCAAATTCGTCCTCATTCATTTGAAATTGGCCAAGATCCATATGTTTGTTGGATGCGCCATGGTGGGTCGGTGCTAGGGGTTGAGGTCCTCCACCGCGAGTTGCTACGTCGTCACCGGAATTCATAGTTGAAGGGGCCGACTACGCCTTGGACGAAAAACTTTGCATCTTTGGATTTTCTGATTTGTTTGATGTTATGAGGGTATCCGTACGTGTGTAATAAGGAGATTGATCGACCTGTGGGGGTGGGTACGACATGGGTGTCATCGGAAGTTGATTTTTCGTCTAGTTTTTGGTGCGTGTTCATCTGGTTTTGGTTCAAATTTTCAATCAAATCTACCGGGGTTGAGACTGGTGGTTGGGTGGGTTTTGAAGGGGGCAATAAGGGCTTCAATGTGGTATGTTAGTCTGGCGACCAAGGTGACCGGAGGTTGGGTCTTTGGTTGTCCATAGTTGGTAACAGGAGTTGACAAAGTGTTTTGGTCCCCACTTTGGTGCTATTTTTCGGCCAATTCCGACGGGGTTAAAGCTAGTGGTTAGGTGGGTTGTGAAGAGGGCATTGAGGGTTTCAAGACGGTATATTGGTCTAGTGGCCAAGGTCGCCGGAGGTTGGAGTTATGGTAGTCTAAAGGTGGCGGGTTGAGAGAATTTGAAGGAGGGAATGGTTTTGGGTGTGTGGGCAGCCCACTTTGGTGCTATTTTCCGGCCAATTCTGACGGAATTACGTTTAGTGGTTGGGTGGATTGTGAAGAGGACATTGATGGCTTCAAGAATCAAGACGATTTGTTGGTCCGATGGCCAAAGTCGTCGGAGGTTGGAATTATGGTGATCCAAAGGTGGCGGGTTGGGAGAATTTGGAGGGAATGGTTTTGGGTTTTAGATTAAATTTGCACTTGAGGTCCTCACATTTTTAGGTTCACGTGTTTTGGTCCTTTAAGTTTGAATTAAAATCATAACGGTCATTCAGTGACCGTTTGTGAAAGCACATGAAACTTCAGTGACCGTTTTATAATTTTGAGATAAGTTCAGTGACCGTATGTGAAGTTAACCCTTTATAAAAATCTCTGTTTCCAAGAAGGAAAAGTTTTAGAAGATGGAGGGCGGCAAATTCTCAAATATATGGCGGCAAAACTTTCGCTCGCATGCCTCTTCGTCATCTCTCTCGGTTCTCCATCTTAACGCATACAGACAGGTACTATAAATCTTCCTATGCAATTTAATTGCGAATATATAATTCTAATCAATATTCATCATCATCCTCAACTCCATTCCATTTATGTGTTTTTATTCTACTTTTTGATTTTGAGTATTTTTCGAGAATTCTGAAAAATATATTTATCTATCTGCATTTTCCATTTTGCTGTGATACACACACAATGTTCATACTGTCTTGGTTTTAGATGTATAACGGGTTTTGAATAAATGCGATACACAGTGGCTGGTTTTTCATATAATCGAAAAAAAAAAAAAAAAAAGGAAAAAGAAGAATGTGTGATAATCATTAAGCGCTTTATGCTTGGAAGGAAGGGGCAATGCATACAACTTCTCGAGTATGTTCATTGCAGATAAATTCTCTTTATTATTCTCACCATATATTTTCATAATTAGGATAATGGATTTACTATCGAATTTTTTGTTATTTTCCCATGTATGCTTGTTGATTGTGATGGATTGTGTTATTGAATTTGAATCTTTCTGCATCTTCTATTCCCTCAACGGTTAGTCTATCGTTCGTTTTCTTCAGGTTTTACACGCTATGGTAAATCTCCTGGACATTAGAAATATTTGATGAAGGACATTAGAAAGGTGTTTATTAAGCTTCCTGTTATTCCTGTTATACTGCTGTGGATATAAATTACTTTAAGCACAACAAAACACATTCAGGGCTTCTAAGAAAAGACTTGGAAGAAATGTTACATGTAATCCCAATGAAATTACATCCCAAATTCTATTTCGACTTCTACCTTTCTCTGTCAACATTGAAAAAATGGCTCTGTTAATGAGCATGATTTGAAAAAGATCTGAACTGTCTACGATGTACACATTGTCAATCGAATCTCATCCTATATCTTAAAATTTTCTTTCTGCCACCTAAATTACAAATTAACTATAACTCATGTAAAGAGGTGGGCAATTGAATGTAAAACAATATGTTGCAGATCTAATCCTACGGCAGTCCCTTATTCTTTCTTTTGGCGTGGACAGTTATTAGTTAGGTCCTCAAACTTTCAATCCCCCCTGCACCATTGCTTCTCTTATTTTTGCTCATTTTTCTTGGCCATCTTGCTCGCAGGGTAATGCAATCTGGCCACCAGAGGTCTTGGGGATCTCAATTTCTGCTCAAATCCTCGGACGCAAACAAATCCTACAACATCACATTGAAGGACATCAGCAAGAAAAGAATGGCGAAAACTTATCTCTTCTCGAATTAAATATACAAGGGGCCGAATGTTGTTCCAACAATGGAGAGAGCAAATATTAGGGTTGAGTTAATTTAAATTCAGCAAGCAGTTCATACCTTTCCAGAAACAATATTGGATACCTTCAGTTGTCAAGCCTAGCAAAATTAAGTATTATTTCGGTGAGTTACTTTTTATGTTACAGTCAAAGTAAAAATGGAGATTACATACCTTTGAAAATAGTTGAGACAGAGGTCCCAAAGAAAACTGTCCTTCTCGGCAGGCTCCACAACATATTTCTTGGAACATTGATAGGATTAAGACTAGATTCATGATCCGCAAATACCTGTGTAAGAGCTTGTTAATCCCTGTTTCTCTAAACTATTGAAATTATTCAAAATTAGAGTTTTGTTAGATTGAGATTGATCTGGCTGGAGAACAAGAAGCTTTAGTGGTATGTGTTAAAATAGTATTTAATAGAAACATAACAAAATATTAAAATATGAAGGCTTTTGAGAAGTATAAGCTACAGGGGAATAAAATAGCAGGGAAAAACTTTTGATGATCACTTTGGAATCTAAGGGTCCGTTTGATTGCAAGAATGAAATTTGGGTGGAAAGAAAATAAATTTCAGGAAATTGAATTGTCTAGAACATGTTTTACTGGGAATTGTCAATTAATTGTGTTTGATTTGTATAATTTTTCACTTGGAAAATATTGAAATTTTGGATCTTTTGATATTTGTTTGACTTTGTTTTCCATAAAAATTGTGGGGATAAAATTTGTTTCCATTGCCGAAAAAAAAAATTGCCTAGGTGGGAAAATCTTTTCCTCAAAAACCATGAAAATGTGAGCACGTGGGAGAAAGATGAAAAATTAATTCCATGGAAAATTTGGGCAATCAAACATGCAAAAAGGTGAAAAATGGAATTTAATTTTCATCTTCCATGGAATTGAAGTACAATCAAACAGGCCTAAAAGTTCTTTGCTAAGTAGAATTAAGACGATGTATAAATGTTCTTTTAGTCATAGTAGGAATAGGTGGATACGCAGTGAGGATCATGTTGTGTTAAAGAGCGATTGTTTAAAGTATTTAGAGCATGGTAGAAATCATGATTATATGCACAAATATTATATAACTATACTACATTACCTCATTGACTTGAAAGTAAGTACCATTCAGAGGGAAACTCCCTCTCATTGCTGTTCTGCATGGAATCTGCAAGGGGGGTATGTCAAAAAGAAGAACGAGTGGGGGAAGAATTCACTAATATCTAATAATTTTGCTTTCACTTCTAAGGGTTTTCATAACATGTTTGTGTTGCTTACCAAAAGTGTGCCTCTGACTGTTTGTGTTTGTTCTTCTCTTATGCTATTGCATGAAAAGCACACCTTCTTATCACAAAGTCCACCTAATTCTTGATGGCTGCATTTACTTTTAGGTGGTTGGATTGAATCTGCTGTCTCTCCTGTTTAAATTATGCCAAATTTGGATAAGTGGTTAGCAGGTTATAATAAAAGTATATATCCACTTGAGTTTATGAGGAGAAATCAATAAATACTTCAGCCTCCCTGCACTACAACAGTCACGAATGCCTTTTCTGTTTCTTATGTGGACATTTAGGCTACATTAAGAGCGAGTAAATCATGTAGTGCTTACCTGGTGTCCATATAGCAAGAAGGTATGGACTAGGATCATCAGTTTCTCGCCTTTCCATCTAAACATATAAGAAGTTTTGGCCAGTTAGAATTAAGTTGCATATAAGAAAAATAGAATTTAAAACTGAGAAGATGAACAACTAACCCCTTTCAGTAGTGGATGATTGTCTGGGAGCTCGTAGCTGCAGCAGAATGAGTAACCAGTCACAAAAAATGAGTATTAACTCATCATATTCACATAAAGGACTATAATTAAGATATGTGCTCAGGTCTCAGGCTGAAAGGTTCATTTATGAATGAATTGAGGAAGTTGCATCATCTGGCGAGGTTTCTGATCCTTAAAGTTGTACCTAGGTTCTATTATTTTATCAATCTATATCCTGAGTTGAGAACCTTTATCAATTATTACTCACAAACGAGAGATTAAGAATCAATTATTCAGTTTTACTTGAGTGGATACTATTTTCTAAATAGCAGACTACATCATAAAGTAGTTTTCCGACAATCTGGTGGCTGCCTATATTGTAAGTCCAAGATGCTTGGTCCAATGTATAGGATCCTGGATTTATGCCAGTGTGATACTCTATGATAACTAGTAACTTAAATTACATGTTTTTGTTCAATAAATGACAGTGTTTCTTGTAGAATTTCATGCCTATTGAGTTTTCATAGGAAGGCGTCAACTTACACTTGGTGCTCTGTCCGCAGTCGACTCACGCTTTTCAGTTTGGGCGTTGGGATTGAAGCAAATTCTGGACGCAAAGAAACAAGGGCTTTTGACAAATTACTTTCTTCTTGCATCTCCATGTTTTGCTCTTGGATAATGCTCTGCAAATTTGTAGCAAATTGTTCTATATTGAGTTTGATTGTAGGGATTTCATCGGGATCCTCATAGAATGCATCCTCAATATCACTTTCTGACACTTCCACGGGTGGTTCTGGCGTTGTTGGTTCCTCGATAATAGGATCACAGTTTTGCCCTGTTTCTCTATCTGAATTGTCACCTAGTGGTGGTAGTGCCATTGGCTTTATTGTTACACCAGGGTTTTTATTGGCAGTTGTTGGAGCAGTAGATGCAACGATACTTTTGTCTTCTGGCCCTGGGAGGGCAAGTCTTGCGCTATACCAAGCAAAATATACTCATCATATTTATATGCGCATTCATTCTGATGTCATAAAGGTTATGAAGTAATAGAAGGCTAACCTTGCAAAAGCACTAGCAAAGTGTCGGCACTCTCCTCTCATTGGGCACGCATTACAATTTGGTTGTTTCTTTGTGCAGAATACCTGTGTCCCAAATTAAGAAATTATCTATTAAGAACCTCTCATGTACTGAGGATAATAATGATCTCCACTGAAGACCTACCTTTCCAAATGTTATCATCTGATAGTGTAGCTCATACCTGCAGTTCCATAATATATAAAATCAGTAGATCATCTTCAGGCATGGTTAATATTTCTTCTGCTTAAGCTGTCAACGATAAGAGATTCTCGAATTGAAATGAGTCACTTTGAGAAAGGAAATTACAATGTCTTCTGATCCAGCTTACAGAGTCTGGGCCAAAGATATTTCTGGATAGATTCCAGCACTGGGTACCTGCATGGAACAAGATTAGCATTAAGAGTAGGTCATAAACTTCACTGTTCATTCCTTGGCACGTACTTACATTTCAAGGAGATGCAACTGGAGTTCTTCAGGAAGTGGTTGGAGAGGTACCCACCCGAGTCGTACAGCAATTCGTCCAACATTTGTGTCAACCTAAGAAACCACATAGTTAGGGCAATATTTTTTATTTATTTTAGGTATAAGTTATTTGTACAGGCAAATGGCCTTACTGGGAATGCAAGGTTATGAAGTGTTAACAGGCGTACGCACTCCACACTCTTTAACCCCAGTCCTCGTATGCTTAGTAGATAATCTCTGCAAGGCATTATGTAATCAGAGGCAAAGAGTGAAACTTTGGAGATGGAGGAGTTATTGGATGACGTGTCCTTGCCTTCTACTATATGCTTTCCCAAGATGGGTACATTGAAGGATTAATTTCTTCGAGGAAACTTACTTGGACTTTTCTGGCGGAACGTCTCTCAACCATTCCAGGTCGATTCCTCCATGGTCTTCAACCAGTCGATTGAGAAATTCCTGTACAATATTCAACCAGTGTTACACTGGCCTTTAGGTTTTAATGGACTATCGGTAGTTTTATTGGAGTCCGTGTTATAAACATTCTACTTACCTTAATTCTCTCTGCTAGCATGTTGTTCATTCCCCTTTCCTTGATTGTTTCCGAAATCTCACGAACATCAGCCTTTCTTAATGCTTCATAGTCCAAAGAGTCCATTGTTTCCTCACATCTTTCTCTTTTTCCAACCTTCAATTGTGCCTGCTTTCTCAATTCATCCCAGCGATATGTTTCTCTCTTTTCCTTCCCAACTTTTGTCTTTGTTGCATTTGAAGCTGTGGGACCTGTCTGATTCATTGGTCTGGTTGTAGAATTTACTTGTCCTGCTGCATTTGGTTCAGATATTTTATTCTTTAAGTGTTGGAAATTACCTGCAACAATTTTAACCTGCATATCAAAATTGTGTCCAGTAAACCAGTGAAGTCAGGGCGTTCATGGATATTAATTACCACTTGATCTTTCATTGAATGCTTTAGCAGGTGCAGTGCAGTTTGATAGAAAGTTGCTTTCTTGCTGAATGGTCTTGTGGCTTCCTCTGTTGCAGTTGGTGGAATGTTGACCCTCTTTTCTTTGAGTCCCAGCTGGTATATTTATCTGTGGTTCAAGGCAATTGTTTTGCATTGTATGCTCCACTCTTGTTGTTAAATCCGGTCTTCCAGTCTGTTGGGGGATAAAACTCCTTTCTAGATTCTGTCCTATGTTATAATGTGCATGTTCTACATCTGTTATCTTGGTATTCTCAAAATCTGTTGATGCCAGAGAAGATATGCTTTCTTTTCCTGGAGATGCAAGGAAATTTGATTCCCATTCTTCCAAGCCTGTCGTCGTGCTTAAGCAGGAATTAGTGGACAGGGGACTTGGCCTCTGATGATGCAGGCTATACACAGGATCCGATTGAGAGAGTTTCTTATCTGGAGATGAACTTCCCATCACTCGATGCTGATATTCCTGTAATGCAGCCATTTTTTCAGCCTGTTCCAAAAGATTTAGAGGGCCACAGTTTTTGCCTAAATTACACCCAGATATTTGATCTTCGGCTTCTGAATTTGATCCTGAGCTGGATCTGACATCTTCATTTGCTTGGAGAATGAGAGATTCAGAAGAACTTTGTGATGAAATGACGTCATCCTCTGCTCTTTTATATTGCTTGTCCATTCCAAAGGTTCTTGTTCCTGACACGACATTTCCTGCTCTGTATTGACATGATCCACTGGATGTTACAGAGCTGTGGTTGTACACTGGCTGTCTTATTGTGGTGTGATCATAAGTTATAGTGCCATCTGGGCATGTTACTTGAACCTCACATTCTTCAACTGACGGGCTTCCTCCATTTTGGCAGCATGGTTGTCTGATAATTGTTGATTTCAGGGGGAATTTGGCTGCAAGACACATGTAGGCAGAGCTGCACACAAGGGGGAAGTAAATATAGAGATCATCAGCTTCTGTCATTTGTTTGGCTCTTAAAAGTTCTATAAAAAAATGTTGACTTTACCTTGAAAGATGATCTGAAACATTCTGCGTGAGAAACACTCCAATCACCGAGTCAACAACTGATCCTTTCCATTTGGAGAATCGTCTGTCACCTGTAACGGTTGCAATTTGGAACCAGGTTATATTTCCATGAATCCATGCATTTGGTGAGGTAAAGTCAAGCTTATTAGCTCTTGTTGTTTGATATGAAGTAAAGTTAATCCCAATTTACACGATTTCAAGAAACAACATGATAAAAATATTATGGTGTTCACTAATTTTAAGTTTGCTTTCCTAAAATAAATACTTAAGCAGAATCAAGTTGGAATACACAAAAATCCTCCATTTAGGAATGAGTGATGATAAATTCACAACAGAGGATCATCTGCAAATAATGGTTGGTTATGTATTCAGGTTTGGTAGCAAATAAGAAACCAAGAAATGAAGTGGATGTAATGGATTGGATTAGGGCGAGTAAAATAAAATGAAGAAGCACTATATGAGTTATATTTGATTGCAAAATACCTACCAAGTTAAAGGTGCTTTATGATCAAATACTAGATTAGCTATCTTTTATGATACTAAGAGTTGGATTGTTAAATAACAAAATGTCAATAAGATGAGCACAACGTAAATTGGTATATTAAGATGGATATGTAGCAATGCGAGAATAGATAAAACTAAAAAAATGAGGATATACATCAATGGGAGGGGATACCATTTGGAGATAAATTAAGCCTATGTTTGGTATAGATTCTTTAAAATGTATTTTTAATTGCACATTCTCTCAATAAAATAATTTTACACGTTGACTCGCAAGTTTTTACAATTTTTTAACCATACATTCTTAAAAAGGTCTTTTCACATAATCTATTCTTAAAATATCTACATCAAATAGACCCTAAAGGAAAGATGATTTAGATGGTCGAGACATGTTTTACATAGATCTAAATAAGCTCTATGCACAAGAATATGTGATTTTACTTTAACAAGTAGATTAAAATTAATATGACTTGATTTGTTGCAAAATATTTGATTGCATTGGATCTTTCACGAGATTCACGTAGCCTGGACAAGTTTATTGCTAATAATGCTGAGCTTATCATTTTTATTGTTCATTGTTATGGCTCTGACACGTGACTGAGGCACATTATTATTTCCAGGTTTTGATTACTAAAGACAACCATTCTCTTTCTTTGCAATCCTATCTTAAAAGCAATAGGGACACCATTGTGGTTATGCCCTTTCCAACTTACCCTATCCTCTAACCCTTCACATACCTCAAACCACCATGATTTTCAAATATTATACTTGTTACTTTGTGTAAACAATTAGCTGCATACGTAATTGTTTACTTACTACAGAAACTGATCATTAATTCCTAAGATTCCTAATATACATTTCACAGTCCATCCTTCACACATTTAAGAAAAAATAAATTAAAGGTGGGACTTATTTAAGGTATATTGGGTGCATTTATATTTAATTATAATAAATATCTAACATGATATGTAAAAGTAATTTATATAATAAAATTAATATCCGGGATACGGCTAGCGTAAGCATGGTATCAGCAATGTCAATGATTTCATAATCTGGGAGCAAATACCTTGAACAAGATGCATCCGTGCAATGAACGAGTCTACTCGTCCGCGGAACACTTTCCTTTCTTCTTCCCACCACTTCTCTTTATTCTTGTCCGTCGTTTCTGTGCCTTCTCTTCCTTCCTTACCCATCAAAAGATTCCATAGTCTATTAGTCTCGGGATCAAGATCTACTTTAGGTCGTGGCCGTCGTTTTTTTATTGGATCAAATTCTTCATATGGAACAATGGCACCATCTTGTTTATACGGAACAAGTGCACCTTGCTGCTCCCCAACAATTTCCTTTCCACTACTCTTGATGCTCAGAGATTTTAAACGATCTATAATATCATCAACTGAAACTATATGTCTGCCATCTCCTAGTGAGCCTGCACAAAAAAGAGAAAAACCGCTTAAAATTTCTAAAGAACAAATTTAGGTTGATGCTTACAGCATAACTTGACGAACAGATGGGTACCTATGACATTTTTGGAGTGACCTTCGTAACCTCTTGTCTTGTTCTCTTTACTGATAACTTTCTCCATATTGAGTGCTTGATTGAATGATTTCAGTCTAGCTGTCTGTCCCTTTACCGAAACATGAATAGAAGAATTTATTATTTCATTTCCTGGAGTGATTTTAGGGTCTCTTTGAGATGAAGACTCCTGATTCCAAAGAATTGCAGCAAGGGAGTTGGAGCTTTGGGCTTTATTAGTGTGACAAGTGACCTTCTGCACAATTTGTTCTGCACGTGAATGCACTCGAGATGAAGTGAGTTGCTGCTGAAGTTCATGTTGAAAATTTGCGGGGTTCATGTACCAATCATGGAGGACCTTGTTGGCTTCATTATTTGGCTTCCTGGAGGTGCTCCTCTCTTCAAAGCCAGAATATGGTAATCCACCATTCAGGTGCAAAGTAGAGTTGTTTGCTTGGATACTGTATGTGCCTCTTCCTTCAACTTGTCTTGAGCAACATTCAACAGTTATGCTAGAAGGCGTGCTTGATGAGGTTACATGAAATTTATCCTCAACCTTCTTTCTCTTACTAGTTTCTAAACCATCTTGCCATAAGCTGTTGCTCTCACTGGCATAATAGCCTTTCTTAGAAACTCTCTGGCACAATAGTTGACAGCCCATCATTGCAGAAGTGTCGTACTGTGACAACTCAGCACAGGAATATTCTCTCTTGGATCGCCGTCTGTCAATGACATCCACTAAATCGTCCAGAAGTTGAGCCCCAGCCTGCAACGTTGGTTGTCTTCTTCCATCTACCTTTGTTTCATTGGTATGTGTTTGAATGGCAAACTGGGGTAGGCGTCCTCCACTGACATGAGGATCAACCTGACTGCACCGATTTGGGCTGCCCCTTTGGTTTGTATTGGCATTTCGCATACTCAAATTCCTTGCTATGACATTTAATGTATGATCCTTTGTTGTAGACGGTGGTGCTGAAGATGGAAGTGGCAACGATAATTGCAGGGCGGTGTGATTTCCAGAATTGTCAAAAATGCGTAAATTCTCTGTTTGTTGTTTCTCTATGTTATACACATTTTGATGCCATTCCTTCACTGAAGATGTTGTAGATTCCCTGTTGAATCCTGTACGCCCTTCTACATTCTGAGAATTTAAGTTCAAAGTGAAAGACATCTTTTTCTTTTCATTTATCTCTGCTTGGTTACCAATTGCTCTGTCCTGGTTTTCCTTTTCTGCTCCATTTTCCAAGTCAAAGTTTAACATTCTCCTGCATGATTTTGCTGCAGAGTTCATGTTAGAGACTCCAACCTCATTCACTACACCAGCCAGTTGAGTCGTGGAGGTTTTAATGTCCTTTTTGCGTACATACTTCCTTTTGCCCGAAGGAATTCCATCATAGCTATTATTTTTTGGAGTAGCAGGCTTCGGTGTCTTTTTGGGTTTCCCTTCCACCACTACTTTTGGTCGGTGTTTTCTTCTTCTGGGTGGTTTCTGCTGTGGTGTCTTGTTCTGATCAATTCCTCCACAAGTTCCGTCATCAAAAATGTTCTTTTCCTTTGGCAATTCCAAAATGGGTGTAGATTCGTCCACAGTGTTCTGCATTATCTGATTAGATTGTTTGTCTACAATTTCAGGTGGTCGAGATAAGATTACATGACTTCCATTATCAGAAACGCTCTTTTTGTTTGGCAATTTCAACATGGCTGTAGATTCGTCCACAATGTTCTTCAATAATTGATTAGATTGTTTCTCTGCAATTTCAAGTTGTTGAGAGAAGACTGCATTCTCTGGATCATCATTTTCTTGACTTGGGATTTTGTCCATCAACCAATGTGGTGCTTCAGTGGGCTGGAAGTTCTTTGATTTGTTTTGCTGATCTGGCGTTACTGGCCCTAATTGGAAGAGCCTGACTGTACTTGTGGATGCACCAGCTTCTGGTCTTGGTGGTGGTAATATCGGATTATAACTGGGTCGGTAATTACCATCTGTCAAAATGCAGCATCATAATCAAGTCATGATAAAATTGTAACAATATATATTTGTTCATGTGTATGTTTACTAGACAATTCAATGACACTTGTCCGTCCTAGACTTACACGTTTGGACATGAATTATAAGTCAAGATCTACAATTAATAATGATACATAACTGGGATTTACATAATTTTTTTTTTTCAAAATTATTTGAAATTTGAGCGATGTTACTGATCACGTGAAAGTTACGCGTGAAACTGCAAAAGTAAATGGGTATACGTCAGTGATCACGTGAAAATGAATCAATCTTTTCTGGATACACATGAAGATTGAAATATGGGACTTGTATTTTACACCCAGTCGATATAATATTGATTGCACAAAACAGGGATGCATAAAATGTGGGAAGTAAAAGGATATATGTCATCAATCACATGAAAATGAACCTATTTTATTTTGCGTACACATGAAAATTGAAATACGTTACTTCTTTTCTAGCCTCCTAGATGATGTACTATGGTTATTCGAAAAATGCAGGTCCAGCAGTTGAAGTTTTGCTGAATGATTTGGTTCTCCTAAATGCTAAAATTTGATAATGTTTAATTATTTGAAATTGCATACAGAAGACTTTAATCATTTAAAATTTCATAGAAGTTATTTTGTAATAGCATTGAGACTAGAGATTTCATCTGTATATCTTCAATACGAATTAGGCAGCCATTGAAAGAAACAAGTTAAATGCACTGAAATTGCAACTATCGAAAATTTATCTGAAGAATAATTTACTTACCCGTTGGTATTTGCTGTAGGCTGTAACTACCAACATCTTGATTTACATACAGAGTGTGGTTCTGCTGGAATGTAGAACTATTGTATTTGTACCCTGTCCGGTTGGTTAAGACTTGAGAATGTGGACTGAGGATAGTCTTGTCCACAACAAAATTTCTGTTTGCTGTCTCGACTCTAGGGGGTGTAAGCACAGCATGCTTCGTCCCCAGTAATTCTACTAATGAATTAACCTTCTGAGGAATATCATTCCCTAAATGTTTAATATAGGACCCAACATTTCTAGCATTTTGATCGAAGCTTCCAAATTTCTCAGTTAGAGCAACATCTCTATTGCTATGTTGCCCATGATTCTGATGACCTAGGAGTCCAGTAGGAGTTAAATTTCGTATATAGGAACCACCATTTCTAGAATTTTGATTGAAGCTTCTGAACCCCTGAATTGGAGCAACATCCCTATCGTTAAATTCCCCTTGATTCCGACCTACATATCCAGGACGTGAGAAATTCTGTTGAGCCCCATTACAGGTCTCGTCCTGTAAAAACCCGGTGTAAATTCCAAGCAAATCCTGCCAATTTGTACTTCCCGGCTGCATTTCAGCAGGTAAGTGACTCGATCTCTGTAGAATTGGCTTATCCGGTGTCAAAGGAATACAAGGATCCCCATTCTGAACGACTCCCTTATCCCGGGGAATGGAAAATCCTCTCCCCAGGTTCATATCCTCAAAAATTCCTGTAAACCCAATACCAGTGCCCTGTGTGTTTCTCTTAATTCTCAAGACATAAACCTTTTACTCCCAAATTCTGCATTCTGCATCCTACCTGGCGAACATACCAAAACAACTTTATCACTAAAAATAACCTGAATTTCAGTAAATTTGTCAGATTTACATGAGATAAAAAGGCATTCCTAACACCAAAATTTTCTATTTATAAACACGCACGCATATATATGCACCTGTGGGTGCATCTCTATGCACGTGAATTCCCAAGTTTTAGAGTCCCAGTTAATTCTCTTTCCTTATTAGCAAATGCACTTCACAAAAGTACCAAAACTAACAAAAGGAAATGAAAACGGAAACAAAGAATTAAAAGCAGAAAATCAGAAAAAAAGTACGGGGTGAATCAGAATGAATTGGAGGATTTAATTCCAAATTTAAATGAAGGAAATCGAAATGTACCCAGGTGATTCTCTCCCGTGATTCTCTTTGAAAAATGCACTTACTCACAGATATGGGTTCTTTTTATACAGTCAAAATTAAAACCTTTTAATTGAGATTAAAATGCATCACAAAAAATGGAACAAAAAATTAAAATTCATCAGGTATGTTAAACTCACCGATCTCTATATATAGTTGTTATATATATAGCCGGAGTTATATGCTTTGGAACCAGTCAATGCCGGAGAGCCAAGTCAGCTTCGTTATAACGAGAGAATTTTAGAGAGAGAAGAAAGAAAGTTTTAGAGAGAGATAGATAAGAGTTTTTTAGTAAGAGAGAGGGGTATTAAACAAAATGAAACAGTATTGACAGTCTTTATAGGTACAAATGAAGTGTGCATGGGTTAGAATTTTTGTAATAAGGGCACTCTCACTATGGTCAATAGTACAATCAAGCCAAAATTTACACCTATATTAAAGAATTTGAGTTTGATTTAAAGAATGGAAGAGAAATACTAGTTTTTTTTCCCTTAGTAAAACATCGTATATCGTATATTTGATTGAGTTGTGAACACCTTTATTGATAGTATTTTTCAGGTCTTTTAATTGGTGCCTCTTTTTTTCTTAGTGAAATAGTGCAATAACTTCATGTTGTGTATCAAAATGATTGTGAGAATTTGTAATTGATATTGTCGTTCTGATTTTGACATTGTTTTTTATGGTAAATAATTGCAATGGTGGCTTTATACCATGTATTGGGTTGAGTAGCGAGGATATGTTGATGACATTGTCATCCAGAGTGTAATGGTGAAAATCTTTGCATGTTGAAATAATCGAATATTTTAATTATCTTGAGAGTGTATAGCGAATTTGTTACACCGTAATACTTTTATGGAAATGACGTTAACTCGTTGAAGGCAAAGTTCATATTTAGTTTATATAATTTTCTATTTGATTTAGTTGATGAAAAAGAAAATTTAGCAAATTTGAGTATATGAAGAATTGTGGTCGAGTAGATTTGCCATTAATAATTAGAATAACGTTACTTGTACATAGTAAAGCTACGCAATGGTGTACATATAAATGAAGTGCATGTCGAAAAGAGATTGAGGGAGATTTTTTATTTTGTTGCAGAATTCTGGCACAATCATATTTCACCACATTATGTGTATATAAATTATTATGTAATCCATTATATACATATAGTATAAATATAATAATTAATAATGTTGTACTCGACGTTTGGGATGTGTGCTTTATATAGCATATTAAGTATATAGTTGTGAAGATATGTTTTTAATATTTAATTTTGAAATAGGTATCTAATTCAATTGTTTAGAAGAGTGTAGCGAATTTGTTATGCTATACCGGTCAAGGAACTTACTCTTATAGTTGTGTAGATGTGTTAATAATATTGTCATTGTTTTTTAGAATGAGTAAGCACTTCAATAATCCACAGGGTGTACTCCAAAGTTTCCATACTGTAGTATATTTGTGGTCGATGGACGTCAATTTTTATAGTTACTTGGAATGGAATGCGCTTACAAGAAGAAGTGATGAACATGGTCGAGTATATGCCATTTATCCTATCAAGATTTTTAAACTTTTATCATATTTATAGGAACCTTTCACGTCTCTTTTTCACAATTATAACACAACCCTAATATTGATAAAGATACTTTGTTGAAGCTTTTGCCTCTACAACAAGGTTAGGGCATAGAATTCTCAAATCTTATCATCTACAAGGTCCAATGATTCATATAAATAATCAATAAGTTGGATTGGAGGGATTATTGTTATGTCTTTATCAACGTGATTCAAGTTAAGCAAAAACGCCATACAAGTGCTTCCTATTTGAGGCTTATGTAATTGAGATGATGATGCCATGACCATGCCTCGTCAACAAATTCTTTCAAGGCATGAGGAAACATTACACCACCAATTTCTGAGGCGTTGAGGGCATGTCTCAATGCCTTGTCGACAATGCCTCTAAGGTGACTTAACACTACAGACTTATCACCTTTTGTCTTTGAGCGAATAGGAAAAGATCCAACATTTAGTTGCATCAAATGGGCCTCTGATGTTTGAAGTGTTAGAGGTCAAAAGAGTGCAAACCTCAACTCATGCAAGTTGTACTATGACTACATGGAGCCATGTGAGACGTGATTAACTTGATGTCTTTTGCAGCGGTGGTTGAGAAAAAAATTTCCCCTTTCGCCTAGAAATGTACGAGGTCACAGATCTATAATGTTTAGGATGCAACAATTGAGATAAATAATGTTTTGAATATACTCGTGATGCGTGAAAAAAATGTGTCGTGCTAATTGTTAGTTTTGCAATACTATGACTAATAAGAAGTAGAGTTTATTTTGGTTAAATCAACATAGTTATTTCAACGGAATGACTTGTAAATTGCAAGGTTATAAAAATGATAATTTCATAATCAATAATAAACGCTTTGTCTAATGTCAACTTGAAAAGAAAAATTAACGATGATTATCTTTTTAGTTGTGTAAATTAAAAACGGAATCATTAGATTTAATCCTTCCTTCCTTTAGTATGAACAACATACTAGTTCTGTCATAAAATAAAGAAATTAATAAAGACAAAAGTAGATGTAATTTTATGTAATTTATCAATTTATAACAAACGCAAAATATGATAATTTCACAATTCAATCATAAAACTAGCATGTACAATACACGTCCCTGCTTTATAAGTATTGAGTAACTCAATAGATTGTATAATTGATTTTTGTCACATATTATTTTAATGGTCAATGTCGAATAACACATCCAAATAAAAAGTTGCATGAATTAAATTTCAAGTTCGATTTATCAATGAAAAATAATGTTTATTGGTTTTTTCTCATGAAATATTGCAATAAGTGCTTTATACTGTGTGTTAGGTATGTAGTTGGGAAGATTTTTATTGCTGTTGTTTAAATTTGTAATATGTTCAATCATTTGGAGCATATGTAGCAAACTTATTATATTATCCTATTTCCATGGTCAACAAACTTACTCTTTGTAATTGTGTTGTGTAGATTCATGATCAACATACACTCTTTTGAGTCGTTGGCGTGTAAATTCGTTGTTAATCACATTTTTTTATCAGTAGTAGGTATTCCAATTATCTAATGGTTGTAAAGCAAAATTGCCGTATTTTAGTGTTTTATGGTCGATAGATGTCAATATTTATGGTAACTTAAAATGCAACTTCTTATGGCAAGTAAAGTTGACTATTCCTAATCTGACCTCATATCATGTCTTATTTATTATCATATCAAGATTCCTAAACTTTATTGTATTCATTGCAACTTATATTTAATTTTGTCGATATCAAATTTGTGAATATAGACTTTGTAACACGCTATTTTTTTATTTTGTTCCAAACTAATTGTCATGATTTGCAATCCTCTATTGATGTAAAGAAATAAAGCTTATTTTGGTCAAAATATATGTCCGCATAATGTTTTCAATTGAATTCATATACATAGGGATAGTGCCGATATGCATTATATGTAATAAAGATGAGAGCCACTTCGGTTAATTGCTTTCAACTGTATATCGATGTTCATTATAGAAGTGAAGTCTTTGAAACTATAAATTTCAAAGGCTGGGGCTTGTAATATGCATGGTATGACAAAAAATGATAGAATCAATGATAAATGCTTTACAAATTACTCTTGCACCAAATAAATATTGTAGTTGACAGCGCAACAAGAAAATTCGACCAATGATTATTTTTTTAATTGCATAAATTTAAAATAGAGTTTTCATAGATTTTCTCCTTACCCTCTTTACTTAAACACTATGTATTGATTTAGTATATAAAAAAAAAAAATAGTAGTCATTATTTGTTGAATATTTTTTTGTAAGTTACACGATCTATAACCATGGCAAAAACAATAACTTTTACGGTCAATCATAAAATGAATATGTGCTTTACACGTTAAGGCTTTACTACTTAAGTATAGCATAACTTATTTGAGAGTATGTATCGATTTGTTATTTTGTACTATTTTCATGCTCAACGATCAATAGCACATTCAAGGCAAGTTTTGCTTGGATTAAAATTTTGAGTTTAGTGCATTGAATGAAACGGAAAAATCAATGTTTTTCTGTCGTGAAATATTGCAAAATATTCTTTATATTGTGTTAGGTTTCGTGAAGATTAATTATAAATATTGTTGTTCAATTTTTTGAGAATAGGTAAATAGTTCAACGATTTAGATAGTATATTAGTTAATCTTATGTTGTAGATTTTTCATAGTAAAGGTCCATAACAATTTTCATGCAAGGTTCATACCTAGATTAAAATTTTTGAGTTTTGATTTACTGAGTGAAAATAAAAATTCCTGATTTCTTCCGGATATGAATTGTGTATCACGTGCGATAGTTGTGAAGATCTGTTGTAAATGCTATGTCGTTCAATTTCGATAGATAAATGCTTCATTCACGTGTCGGATTGAGTTGTGAAGATCTGTTATTGATATTCTCGTCTAGGTATTGTAATTATGATTTTCTTCCGCGATGAAATATTTTAATAATTGATTT